TAGAGAGAAACGAATGTATAATCTTCACATCCACCTAAATTTGCTTGCAGATATTGCTGGAATGCTGCTACTGTAAATTCTATGTACCAGAGACAATTTTCTAGCAGACACAAAAACAGCGATAAATTTTAACTGTGACATTTAGAATTTTATCTGTAAAACATTTTTTTGAGTGCTTACTTCGCTGGTAAATGTGCGCGTCCGAACTTAGCTCAAACTTGGCGATATACTCGTTTGCAAAACAGATTACATTCACTCTCGCCATAAAAAAATAAATATGAAAGAAAATATAAAAGAATATTGCAAATCATTCTACCCATTGATACGTCATATCAATCTGTACGATGCAATACTTTGTGCAATATGATCGTTTTCTCAATGTCATTGAAGTACGACGTCAAGTCAAAAGGAGAATTTTATCGCGACTCGTTACTTGACGAAAGAATATTCTTGCACAGTATAAATTCGCACACGAGACGTGCGCTAAATTCGCTAAGCTCCTCTTCGGCTTACGTTCAACACAAACGCCGCGCTGTCTACAGTGACAGGTCTTAATTGTTCAAAACCGTTAAGCGTAGATCCTAGCAATCGGGAGCATCTCGATAATCCGAATACATTCTTGCATTCGAATATACCGGGATTAGCCAGCGGATTAGCTGTGGATGCGCCGTAATTGCCGTAATTCCATCACTTATCGTGGCTTTTCTGTTCCGTAGCAATATTGTTTTATCTCCGATGAAATGGCCAGCGGAGCGTCCGGAATGAAGCAAACGTCACAGAAGCGGATTTAACGTCCCGGCGATATTTCACGAGAAGGATTCCCGTCGCCCTCGTACGATCCTCCCCCCACCCATCCGCCGACCAAGTCGATAATCTGAAAACCAGATTTTCTCCAATTACTTCGCGATCGCGGACCAGACAGCCCGATCGTAACTTAATAAATTCTGCGCTTTTCGTCCGTCCCGGGTTCTCATCTGCCGTACGTCACGTCTCGTTTGTCTCCTGGTCACTCACCCAGGACTTCCGTCGATCTACGCATATTTCCACGCGACTGGACAAAGCTGGCGCGCGAAAAACGAGAACGACGAAACCACGCCGCGGTCTTCGTCAGTCGTCGCTGACATTTCCGCTCCCGAGTGACGGCGTTTCCGTCTTCCGTATCGACCTCGACAACGCGAGGACTCGATCTCACACGGGACAAAAAATATCTCAGTTCGTGTAACTGAACGCGGACCAGACAAACACTCGGCGACGAGAAATGATTCCTCTGCGCGGGGGAATTTTATTACGGTTACTCTAACCACATTTTCTATTATTAAGGAAATTCATGTGAATTCAAGTTAAGCAGGTCGTAAGGCAGAATGAGTTTGTTAAGAATTTATTGAAACTGGCGCTATATATAAATTGAAATATCATCTCACTGTTCGTACAATTAGAAAAAGATTGATTATTTGAGAGTTAGAAACTAGTCGACACTTTTTACACGTGTCCTTGGATTTAGCGTGCTATTTTTAATTTATGTTTCCAGTTTCCTGTATAAACTAAACTTAACGTTTTGATGAAGGCTGTTATAATATTATAGAAAATATTACAATACAATATTAAAATATTATAATACAATATTAGACTAATATATCTACATTACACACATATTTCAGAATTATTGATCGTTTTGTTTGGAACATACAGAGGTGGAGAGTTCATAATTTATATGCGGAGAGAATTTTATACCAAAAATTACTATAGGATTTTGTAACTAAGGAATAGATCGACATTTTGCAACTCGCTATCCTTTCATTTCATATATGCTATTTATATTTTAGGAATTGAAATGAGCTATTAAAATGTTTGCTGTGTTTCTAATTTGCTATGTTTCTAGGAAAATTTACTATGTTCCTTAGCAAGATAGATTTTACTGACAACCTTCCTGGACCATTAAAAATATAAAATTGAGAAGAATTTGAAAGGAAACTATAATATTCTCTTCATGTAGTAACTCTCGAAATACATAAACACATATTTAAACATTTATATATTTTTTCTATTATCTGCGCATCTCTATTCGATCAACTGATGCAAAAATAAAGCATTAATATAAAAAAATGTTTTAAACAATATTTTCTGTATTTGTGCGTATGTGTTCATTTCAAACTAATAGTATTATTTAGATAATGAAGTAAATGTATATAAATGCAATTTTTTTGTTGGATAAATGGTTATGAGAAATGATAAAATTTAATGTTCCTTTAATGCGTCACACTGAGAATATCACACTAAGTTTTACAATATCCTCAAGTAGATGCATTAAAAATTGTTATTGCTATATACCTATCAATACAGTTCTCACAGTTCTTATAATACATAATTTTCAATGTTCGTACGTTATATCCTCAACAAAAAAGACCACTAGTATACTTTCAGAGTATATAGTATCTACAATCCTTTTATATGTATAGGCAAAGAATAATGTTAATATATTATTATGGCAACCAAATTTAGTGACATATTATATTTCTTCCACGTGTTATCGCGTGGAAATAAGTTAACTTATTTGTTTCAGCATTCAGTTGCATTAAAATTCAGCTGAAGTAACTGAGAACAATTGATTGAGTGGAAACTTCCTACAGGGATCGTTCCGACAGAATTTTCGTCTGATCCTCAGGGCACAGAAATTCAGTTACACGAACCGAGATTTTCTTTCTCGCGCATGGTTTCCAGAGTTTTATCCATTGTGAGAACCGATTTTCATGCGATCCAACCTAACTAAGAATTAAATAAGAGCGTAAAGAAATGATGTTGTCTATTCTAAAACATACAATAGCTGCAAATCGTTACTCGGCGCATCTCGAAATTTCCGGTCTCGAAAAAATTGATTCGCGCCTTAGGCACACTTAACACTTTAATCCGCCACTGGAGCGCATCGGGCTCTCGGCTGCAGGCTGCCGGTGGTGGGAAACGGTGCAAGCGGTTTACACTTGGTTGACTTGATGGGTACCCCGAGCCCGCGGCGGCGGCGGCGGCGAGAGTGCAGAGAAGCCGCACAGCGATGCAGTCGATGGAGAGTGCGAAGAAGAGACGGAAGTATAATAAGAAGAGAAATATAACGGCGAGGGTGGAACGGCGGAGAGGGAGCGGGAAGGCGAGCGAAAAGGACGAAGAAGGCGTGCGGAGGCCTCACGGCACTCGGAGGGACGTCGGAAAATGCGAACGATCCTCTTGGCACCCCTCCAACCCGCCGCGGATAGATAACGGCGGAAAAGGGGGGGGGGGAAAGAGAGGATGGGCGCGCGTCATGCATCACGCGAGGCGTCCGGTGCATCCAGCGCATCCGGATGCAGCGTACGCGAAAGGAGAAGGCAGACGGAGACTCCGGAGGTAGCAAAGAGAACGAAAGGGCAGAGAGGGTGAGCAACGACGGAGTGGGTGTCTGAAGGAGGAGGCTGGAGAAGGATGGCTCACCGTGCATCAGCCCGCTGTCTTCGCCAGGATGCAAGCGAGATGCGACGCGACGCGGCGCGCCAACGCGTTATCGGTTACACGCTCCCCCGCGCGTGTGCGCGAACAAATACGCGGGCTGTACGTTGCTTCCTTGTCGAAACTTTCACGCCCGAAGCTGCGATACGAGCCGCGAGTCGAGTAAACGACAACACGGCGCTGTAGATTCGCGCGCGTCACCGCGGAAATCGCGCGATATCCGAGTAGAGATGTGACTAGTCGAGCTGATCCAGGAACTAGTAGCTAGCTAGTACAAGCTAGATCAACCCTGACATTCATTTATGTGCTTGAGTAACATCGTACATTCATTAAACATATATTGTCAAAAGAATTGGTTTAAAATTTATTCACTCATCGTAAGTATTATAATCATTGTCTCCTTTTGTTTTATTTGTAACATGATTTTCATGCATGAATTTTATTGTTTCTTTATTTTTATTTACGTATCACATTTTATGGGGTTATAAAATAGCATAGAATAATTATAGACATAGAATAATTATAGACATAGACTAATATATAGAATATATTATAGAATAACATAAAAACTTGACATCACAACTCTACCCTTTTCAAAATTAAATTATTATAGACTATATATATATCAGTCTTTTTTATAGTCATTAGTCTTAAAATTTATTGATTGATTCATTATAAAGAAAAAACTTCACAACATAAAGAAATAAAAGTGTAGTTTTGAGGTCAATTGATCAGTGAAGAAATAGACGCGTGATTGTAGTAAAATAGGAACATTACACCAATACATTCGTCTGCTTATTGAAATTCAAGTCAAACTCAAATTAGGGTTAAATTCCTTAGTTTGTTTTTAGTTCATTACTTACCGTTTATTCACTAAAATGTGAAATCGATTTTGTAATCGATAGTCGTTATACGTTTCAAATATTATAGATAAAATGACGTCTTCTATTCTAAAGATATATAATTTAATTTTTATACTGTCATTAACATTTTAGAGTTGGAGTTTAAAATTGAGTTACGTTATTTCATGAAAATCTTCAGAAATGAGCGTTATATTACTAGCCGGCAAGCGGCTATGATTTTTCATCTCATAACTGCAATTTCTTTTGCCATCAGTGAACTTATTTATAAAGTCATTAAGAAAATTGAGTGGCTAGCAATATTAGATACAAATTTACTGCTTTGTGACTAGGCAGCCACAAGATTCAATTTGAGTACCTTTGCAAATTGATGGCGCTCGAGAATAAAATGTACAAAGAGTTGTTAAATCTTATTAGTATTTTTAGTCATGCACACGCTCATGTGTGAACGAATCTAGTTGAAAAATTCGAGAAAAGAAATTAATAGTCTGTAAATTAAAAAATCTTCTTTAGGTACGGCCTTGTTGGACCTGATAAATTATGATTTTAAATAATTTCTTGTCCCGACTGATTCGACTCGCTGACTCCAGAGCAGCTCTTTACGACAAAGAAATGTACGAGTGCTATTAACGAGTGCTGGAAATGGCTGTTGTCGTGTCAACTTACCTTTCGACTTGGCTCGCCGCGACAGAGCTCCCACAGAAGGCAGAGAGCCAGGGACGATATGCCCGTTTCTTTGGCGAAGGTGGCCAACGTCGACGACACCAGGGCCAGCAGCAGAGGAAATGGCGATCTGGTGCGATTACAATGGGCCGAGTACGTCAGGAAAGATGTCAAGGTCAGGAAGCAGGCAAGAAGGTCGGCACGTCCGACTATACCGGCCACAGCCTCACTGTGAATGGGATGGACCGCAAACAGGAAACCCGTGATCGCGTGCGCGAGATTGCTCCTTCCTGGCAGGACCTGTGGAGTGTAATTGCGGATATCTCGTAAGGTACACATGTAAACGTCTCGCGAGACGATCCTTCAAGTGATGGGTTAATTAACTCCACCGTTAATTAACTGTACTTCGCTCGATCCAAATTTCAATTTAATCACTCGCGGAACATACCGGGGATATACGAAGGTAACGATCCGCTCCAAGAATTCAGAATTATGTTAAAATTTATAGATTTAAAAACTTTGCCTCAAATTTAACATATTTTGCATATTCTAAAAGGTCCACTTAAATTTTCGTGTTAATTTAACACAAATCAGGTATGTTAAAAAACGCAAATATTATGCCAAGAAATGAACACAAGCTATTTTGAAGCAAATTTTATAAAAAATTGATTTAGAATGTCATATATAACATAAAAAATGTTATTTTCACACTAACAAAAAAATATTCTAATTATCATTCCTTTTTTATTGCATAATTTTCAAGAGCAGTATTATCTATGATTCTAAAATCTTTTTAATCATATGCTGTTTAGAGAGAGAGAAATTGAATTGATTCAATTTTTTTATATATTTAAATTGCCACATATAGAATTGAGAAACTCTGGCTCTTGAGAGTCGTCTACTTCTTACTTACTACACCATTTTTATTTTGACTGTAAGCATACTTCAAATTGTATATATCGTAAGTCGTAAGATGACGAGAACATAATTTTTTGATAAAATTAATATCCATAATATGTTAATCTTAGAGTATAAAATGTACAATTTTAACAAGTTGTTACTTGAACACACGTATATTAAATAATATTCTAAAATAACACAAACATATGTTAAATTGACACACTAGTATGTATAATGTACTTTAACTTTTGTTAATATCAAAATTACTTTAAAAATGTAAAGTTTTTAAAATAATTATATTAAAACAACTCAAAATAATATATCATTTCTGCATGACATAAAAATTGTCAAGCTATGAAGTTGATATTAATACATTAAAACGTCACGAAAGAAATAACATACCAGTTCTTTGTTACTTTTACATTGAAATAATAATAAAAAATTGATAACGTGAAGAAATTTAAGTATTTATACGCAAAATTTTCTACAGTGTAATGTTACGTGTGCGTATATCTCTGAAAACACTGAATATAAGTCTCAATTTATTTTAATGTGATAACTAACTTGTACTAAAATATTTAAGTATTAAAACGAGAAATATTATAATTATTTGAAAATTTTACAATATTGAAATTTGTTATATTATATATATACGTTTACAATAAAAATTTATAAAAAAACTTCGATATTATAATATGTGTTTATATATGGTAATATATAAAAAAACTATGTAAAATGTGTATATATATATATATATATATATATACATTTTGCATATTATTTATATATATATATATATATATATATATACATTTTACATATTATTTATATATATATATATATATATATATATTTATATATTTATATATATATATATATATATATATTTAGATTTATATATTATATTAAAATATTGAGATAAAAAAAGAGAATATAGTGACCAAAGCAATCACGTTCGCCGATGATATGGCGAGTGATGGGATTTCCGAGAACACGGCCAAGATATCCAAGTCAAAATATAAAAGGGACATCAGATATGCAAAAATGTAGAGGAGCACAATTTGTAGTATTATGTACAAGACTTGGTAATCGTCGGCTGCAGTCATCGGCGGGGATATTCGAAAATTATACGATCCGATGCACATTTGCAATAAAGGGATATCGAGGATGACGAGCGTCGGGTGGAATTTCGAGCAGGAAAATTGTATAAATGTCGCATGTTTTTTTCCGCAGAAAATCGGAAGCACGCGACGAAACAACTTGGAAGCAGGAAAACCGATCGAGATCGAGAATGTGACGGAAGCGTAGGTTCACGAACTAACGGCGAACTAACGAAAGATATTAACGATACGCGTAACTCAAAACGCCGCTCAGGCTACGTAGAAGTAGCTTCATTAATACACTTAGACTCAGTTAATTAGCGTGACAGTTTCATTACTCAGCAAAGTGCTGCGTGTATTAAATTAACGCGGCTTCTCATACTTGCCGCAGCTCCTCGCGCCCATAATAACGCGCTAAAACGATTCGAGTTGCTAATGAACTTATAAAACGGTATGCAACTTTGATATTATTGCTTATTTTTCATGATGCTAAGAAATTGCGCTAAGGACTCGCTCGCATAGAATCCGCGAGGCTGTAGCCACCTGCGTTACGTTTCCCTCTAGTGCGACCCGACTTTCGCTCTGTTCTTGTTAAATTTCCATTCGCGAAAGACTTCTCGTCGGTACTTTTGATTTATCTCTGGCTCGTTCCTCCGAAACTTAACCGAAGCCACGATAACTAAATTATTCCACTTCGTTCGCGCGATACGCGCTATTAACTTTTATTTTGCTCGGCGTAAATATAATTAGGCTCGATCCATCGGCGTGTGTACGATTGCATTTTATTTGGTTTAGCACATATATAATTTAATTTAATTTAAACCAGTGCAGTTATAATTAAATGTCGTGTCGTTCGGCGCATGCATAATTAAATCGTAAATGCCGCGATTCCTCAGAGCACTTGGACACGCGGAAGTTAAATACTCGCTAGGAATTAAAGCACGGTGACCGAAAGAGACGTTGTGAAATTAAAGTCTCAGGGACGATAGGATCCACGTCGCGGCCCTTTTGATCCTCAAACGTATCCGGAAGTTCTGTTTGAGATTTTCGTGTGCCCGATCTCCATCTAGATTCATGCTCTCATGTTCGCCCTATGGCGCTTTTGAACTAAGAGGGACCTCGCACCAACTAAAACGAAGCGACGTCGTAAAATTAAAACCACAGTAGGCTTATGTCGAAGTTAAACGGGCTCTCTCTCTCCCCCCCTCTCTCTCTCCCTCTCTATCTCTCTCCTTGCACTCAAGGCTGCCACCGACAATTCTCCAGAGATGTGCTCCCGTGGATCAAACAAAAAGGATCTCCATGGTTTTATTTCGGATATAAAACGAACCGAGTTGCTCAATAATTAGATGGATTCATAATGCGTCTTTTACTGCAAAGCGAACTTTTACTGTCACGCGCACCCTTTCCCTCCCCCCTCCCCCCTCCCATCTCCATTCGACAAAGCTCCGCAAATTAATATCGCAGCAAAGATTACGTTCAGCGCCGTAATATAATTGATGGAAGATGAATTAAGTTGAATGACGGTATTTATCAAGCCTGAATTATGATTAATCGACGGTCACGCGCTCTTTAATACATCGCTAGCAATATCGGCAATGTGCACAAATGGAAAACAACGGCGGTGGAGATGAGATCAGTTTTGTCGACTAATTCCACATTCATTATTATTATTATTTTTTTGCACTGCACCTGGTCTCATCGTTGAAACGAACGCATTCCGCGCTTTGATGTTAATCCGGCATAACACGCCGACTGTTGGACCAGATGAGAAATATAATGCGGACGTTAATGATAATATTCCGGCATCGGACGGACTTTTGAGATTTTATTTCCGGACGGTCATTATGGAACAGAATATTATGAAAACTCCCGTGTGATGTGAACGCTACAGGTGTCACTATTGTTTTCTTTCTATGGCGATGACATAAAATCCGTATTTGAAAGGCGTTACCGCGATACAACTGTTTTCCGACTCACAAGGAAACATATGAAAATGTCCCTTTTATCAGTGTCAACAAGCTTCAGATGTGTAGAGCAGCCAAAAGTAAGAGATATGTGCTTCTTGTACGCGTTTTCTCATGTTTCAGAGTTGGAACGACTTCTCGAAGATAATTCTCGATAAAATTGATATAATTGATATAATGTATTTCAACGTCTCCAAAAAGGTCATGTGGCGACTGAGAGTTTATTTAAAAAATCACATATTTAAAAAATATGCAATTATATTGCAATGATAACATTGTAATACAAGAAAAGCATCAAAGACAATAAAACTTTTATCTAAAGGATTTTTTATATACCTTATGATTCTCTCAAAGATATTCACTCATAATCAATTTGACCGAATTTCTTGCAAGTAATTGTCTCGACTACAAAATGTGCGAGAAAATATATACAAAAAATATATAACGTTTTATATATTAGCTTATGTTAACTATTTGCTTACAAAAATTAGAGTGAATAAATTGGGATATATGAAATGTGTTAAATTTAACGCAAAAATTTTTGCAGCATGTGTAAAAGCCTGTCAACACCGGTGAGTGGCAGCTTCACACATATGTATTCCCTTATCAGTGAATGAAAACTTTCTCAATTACAGTGATAATTATGTGTGTGTGCATTCACATACACACAAAAGTATGGTTTGTTTCGTATCACGGGATGAAATCTCAGATGAAATCAGAGATGATGTAGATGTAGTTACTCACCTTTCTGGCGACCCTGACTACGAGGACAGTGCAGCCGGCGTGCAACGCCACATTCACCAGATGATAGCCCCAGGGTTCAAGACCACCCAGAAAATGATTCAGACGGAAAGTGGCCACGCAGAGCGGTCGATAGCTACCGTGCGAACCACGCTCCGTCAGCGGTGTTCCCCAGAAGTCATTCTCGAGCAGCCGGTACCACGGCGTGCTCGACAGCAGGTCAGGATTCGTCAGGATGGCTCTTCTACAACATCAAAATGACAGTCTCGAATTATTTATCAGATTATCTTTGAATGAGAGGTAGACAAAGGAGGAGTGAATTACTAATAATCGCTAATAACTCAAACGTACACAGAAATGGATATTGTATATGAAAATGAGACATTGCTTCTTCTCGGTAGCCTTATCGCGTCAAAGCCTTGTTACATAAAGTGTTCAGTAAATAGCTGTTTCAATAAATAGCTGTCAAAATTTTACTTTAAATGACGTTCGACAAATTTCATTTTCTAATCAGTGTCTATCAAATCAGATATCGGTTACAGATTTAAATTGTTTGTATTATGCGTTTCCAAGTCGTAATTTTAGACTTTCTAATCCAATGTCCGACTTCCTAACATCTGCACTGAGAAAATACACTTTAAAATTTATTTGTAGGATATAAAGTTTATTTCTATAAAAATGAAGTTTATTTCTGTAAATGAACTTTATATTTTACAAATAAATTTTCAAATACTTTTTTTTAGTGTGTATGCGCAAGAGGATCAATGTATGTATGTTTAACATACATCAGGATTGAAAATCTACTTTGCGCTTTTCAATTATAGAAAGTGACACAAAATTTGTAGGTTCTAAAATTTGTAGGTTCTAAAAAGGACTTCTCAGCAGAGTTAGTAGGTAAAATAGAATCAAAAGAAGTTGATATAGGCTTATCAAAATAGAGTATCAAAGTAGGTGTTAAATGAAATATTGAGGTCGAAAGTAAGATAAAAATTTCGACTCGGGTTGAAGTAGAGGTGCTCTACGATTTGTACATATAATATATGTAATCATAGTCAAACACCCTTCCCTCAGTTATTGTAGCTTAGCTATGTTGAATATTGAACGGCGAAATCCGCAGGAGCTGATACGCAATTTGAATTTATTAGCCCGGCTCGATTCACTATGGGAACAATAAAATCGGCTATAGGAACGACAGAAATAAACAAAATCAGTTTTTCAACGCGTCGTGATTCGCGTGTAACTTAATCAGATTGTGATAATATAACCCGTGCCGGGTTACATTCGCAAAACCGTATTAAAAGGTGAAACATCGATTTATTATACGCAACGCAATTCGATCCGCGGCGTTAAAATAAAATAAGCCGTTTCAATTTGGCCTACTCTATGGCTTTGTCGTGTAATTTAATACGGGACTTTCAACATTTCGGTCAGTTCATCGTGTTAACCGCATCAACCGAGATTCTCGGGCCGAATGCCAGCGACAAATCATTCGGTGGCATTTAATAAACCATTTTTATCTCTGTCCGTGAATTAATTACTCAGACACGGACACGCTCTGTGCGCGCGTGTATTAGTTGCCAGAAACAATTCTCGCTCGTTATCGATCGGCCGCTCCCTATCAGTGTGCAAATATCGTCGCATCGACGTATCCGGACCTCGCTCTCTTCCCCTGGGAAATAAAGTCGAAAATTAATTAAAAAATATCACATTTATTTGACAGAATGTTTAATTAAATAGCGATTACGTCATACTTGCTTTAGCGTTTTAATATAAAATGTTACTGTGGAACGCGCGAATGAGCGGAAGAGAGACATGTGTGGAATTGAGCGAACAAATTTTATAACCGCGTAAACGTTAAAACTCCATGTAAAAATTAGAAGGGTCCTCGAAGTCGCCGAGGTAATTTCCCTCAAGTTCCGCCGGTATTCCGCGATTACGTGTACACGTATATCAATTCCTGAAGATCTGGTCGTGCTCGCGCCGAGCAAGATTCCCCGATCGCATTTTAGCCGACTCCAAAGCACACAAACTTACTTCACGAAACGAACGGAACGGGGCTGAAGGTAACGCAATTAGTCGGACGTCGCTTATATCGGGCGCTCGTTATTATCGCCTACTTCGCTGGCGGAGCAATCGTACGTGCGCGCTCGGGCCAAGATCACACACAATCGGGGGCTGTGCTGGCCTACGAAAACGGTTACGACGGCGATAGTGCTCCGGCGAAACGGCCTTATCGCCCGACCTTATATCGCTGGTCGCGCGCGCGCGCGCGCTCTCTCTCACGCGGCTACATCTGTATATTTCTACGTGTAAGAACTGCAAAGTGTGTTTCGAGCACTTCATGAACTTAGGAGCGCCGACAGTCTTCCACGAAAAAGCTGCCGGAACGACAACGTCGTTCGCGTAATCCGTGAGGATCGCGATGGCGCCGTTTACCTGGCGCCGTGCTTTTGTCTCTTTATCGTCGCCTGAATGGAGAAGCTATCGGTTCACCTGCTTGTGAACCGAGAGATGATACGATAATTTACAATATTAACCGTTTTATTCTGTTGGTGAGGAGGGAGAAGCATGAAAAGAAAAAAGGAAACGGAAAGAATCTCGGCGAGTCGCGCGTCCGGAGCTGTCTCTCTTGGTGACAGCGGCATCACGGACAGCATTAATCCGGCCGATTGTACGACAAAATAAGTAGAAAATAACGCGTGCAAATAGACATAGGACAAACAATTTCAGTGGGGAAACGCGCACGTAAAAGGGGTTATTCCGAGGTAGTAATATGAAGAGCACACGCTCTAATATTTTTATTCGTACTTTATGCGGCGCTAAATGAAAGTAGAAGCCGTTTGCCGATGCAATTATTTGAGCGATCGCGACGTTTCGCAGCAGCGGGCTACGGGTTTTATATAGAGGGAGAGAACGAGAGCAACAGAGAGAGAGAGAGAGAGAGAGAGAGAGAGAGAGAGAGAGCACATGCCTTTTTCTTTCTTTATAGCGAGCGATAAACCTGCCGAATCGATGGCAGTTATCGAGTATGGTTTATAAGGCAATCGACACGCAACGTGGGACGATAACATCGCTCTTGCATTACATTTTCCATTGTAGACGTCTTATCGCTGCAAATAGAAGATGTAAAGAAATAATGCCACGCGGTATTGAAACGCGGCTCTTGCCTTCTCCCTTCAACCAAACTTCTACCTCGAAATTTGCGGTATTATAATATACGTTTCGACAATTTGATGTAGCAAAATTGAAATTAAGGTGCGGAGTGTAAATTATTCACAGGATGCTCATTACTCACATAATTTCCTTATGAAAGTGGACAATTTCTTCTAAGCAAAACTGTTAAGATAGTAATTTTCGAAATACTTTTCAAAAATCTTTTTGCGAACTCTACGTTCGACGACGTGGGAAATCAATCAGTAATATTAGACTTTGCGTATCGGTGCATCAATGTAAATCTGAAAAGTGCAACCGAATTTTATTCAAGGTTTCTTTATATTTTTTTTCTTTTTTTTACAATAATTTCACCCATCATTTTACATACAAAAGTATTAAGATGAAGTTATCGATTGAGAAGAATATTTTATGAAATATTTCAAATTTTTGTGTACCGAAAGGTGTAAGATAGAAGAAAGATAAGATAAGAAAAGATAAGATAAGAGAATTAAAAATATCTTGAAAATAATATTTATATTATGGTAGTTTTACTTCAGTACTTTTATAATCACAGAAATTGATTTTTGTTAGAAAAACCACACGATTCCATCTAAAAAATTGGCAAATTTTTCTAAAGACATTCCGAGATTAAGTGAACGTTGCCATCTTTTTCTCCTCTTAAAACTAAATAACTTTTGTTTGACACATTTTTGTCTGTCTTGTTTTTTATCTTGTCTTGTTTTTGAGATATTTGAAGTATGCAATTAAAATGGGACATCCTATGTTTATACATACACACACACATGTGTGCGCACACTAGAGAGAGAGAGAGAGAGAGAGAGAGAGAGAGAGAGAGAGAGAGAGAGAGAGAGAGATATTATATTGAATATTGAAAAGTCCTTGTAACTAACGATCTCCCTCAACATTTCCATTAAGGAGAAATTGCCAAATTTGTATAAAAAATAGCGTTATACAACTGAGTGGGTGCGAAATAGTTTACATTCCTTATACATTCTGAGAGCACTCACCCCGAGATAATTTACCGTCCCTTACAGAAATCGTAGAAGTTGATATGCAAAGAGAGTTTCCAATTACGACTGTGCTTTTGCCTTAAGAAATCCTTTTTTACCTTCGCAAAAAGACATAATTGAGCGTTTACGTAACACAAATCCGTTTGTAGCTCAAAGAAACGAGGAAGACTGCTGTAACGCAATCGTTCCGTGGCGCGGTTCGCGAAATGAATAAATCTAAACGATAACATTTCGCATTACGTGGATGCGCTATGGTGCAAGTTCATTTGTACTGCAAAGCAGCATGAAGAGAGCCCGTCATCGCGAGTCACTTTCAATTGCCTCTCAACGGGATCTCTTCCGTGCACGCATTTCGCGAAATTATACGTCGCGCGTTCAATAATCCGTTATTTTCGCCATCGCTTTCATCCAATTAATGCGCGCGTTGCTGAGCGCTGTAAAAAAGATTTGTAAAAAATACGCTATCACTCGTTACGCCTCGTCGAACTTTTTCTTCGTCGGATCGCATAGACGATCCTCCGCGTTCGAACGAGGCGTTCTAATCGACGACCGATCAATATTCATGGGTATCGATGAGCTCGATATTTCAGTTCGTCTCCAGATTCCGATACGAGAAGCTCTATGCACACACACACACACACACACACGCGCGCGCGCGCGCGCATACACTCGATCGCGCCGTTGAAAAAAGCGGGACGTAGCCACCGTTAATTTTCCGTCGAACAATTTTGAGCGCCGCTGCCTCCGACAAGCTATTGCTAAGTAATGTTTTTTATTTTTTTCTCGGATATTACACCCGCGTATAGTCTGACTACACTGTAAAAAATTTCGCGTACAAATGTTAAAATTTCTTCCTGCTACCAATTCTTGATTATTATATTATGTGATATTATACTTGATTATAATGTAATATTAACATACAACTGATAATTATTATATTACAACTGATATATATATTTTCGTGACGTTTTAATGTGTTATATCAGTCAACTTTATAAACAATTTTTATCTGTCATTTACAAATAAAATATTATTTCGAGTTATTTCAACGCAATTATTT